ATATTATCCTAAATGAATAATATCAACATCTGAAGGAGCCACTGAGCTGTGACTCAGCCTAGTAATTAGCCTTGATATATATTCACATTCCAGTTGTCCTAATAGCGCACCAGGTTTTTTATTCTCCAGATTGTTTTTAATTAAGTGGTGTATTGTTTGGCTGCATTATGATTCAATATGATTACAATGGAAATGTTGCTCAAACATGTCTTCACACACTTGACCACACCCAGCAAGATTGCGACCTGGAGTTTTGATCTCACCTGTCCTGGCTGCACTGGGCGATCCAATCCCTCATGGTGGCGTGGAACGTCTCTCTAGTCACAAGTGGGTCCTGATTCTCTGGGTCGAGCAGCTGCTGCAGAGCAGCCAGTCTGTCCTGCTCCGTACTCTGAGCTGTCATGTTCTGCAGGTACTGGACGATGGTGGAGGCCAACACCTCTCCTGAGGGCCGGAGAGAAGCAGGAATAAATGATTTAACTTTTTGATATGGTTGTTTTCATTTGTTCTGCTGAGCACAGCATGAGCTTGTGTACCTGAATTGGAGTTGTTGCATGTGTTATACATGATGTCAAGGAGCTCATGCTCAGAGAATCCTCCCGTGTCATTTTTGTCCTCAAGCTTGTCCCTCGTCCCACTGCCGGGGGACTCCCACACTTCACATGCAGAGAGAAAATGATATATTTAAATTCACAAGCAGGAAGAAAACATGTAAATGCTCATATGCTGCATGAAGTGTTTGTATTGGAGGCTTTAAAAAAGAGCAAAGTAACGCCAGCATGTACCATCGTTGTTGTCTGACATCGTCCTTGTTTCTCCTGAGTCCCTGGACAGACACGTTCCTACATCACCTGATTATTTAACAAACATCAAATACGTCTTAAAGTAGAAACACAGATACATATTAAAATGAACAAATGTTTAAAAAGTGAAGTGGAACGATAAGTAGCTCATGCTTACATGTATGCAGTGGGATCTACTCAGAGGACGACATCTTCTTACTGTCATCTCACACTGAGGAGGAAAATGTGACATGAATATGCTCTGACAGACATGATGACGACACGATGTTAAAATGATAAAACACAACTTAACTACATTTCCTCTACTCAAAAATCATATATAATGGGTTAAACATTCAATGACAACAGTGTTCCATTATCAATAGTTTTTTTAAGGAGGGATTAAAATGAATTCTTACTTCTCAGTTCCTCATAGTTCTTCTGAAAAAAACCACAGCAACAATATTGTCAAATGAGGATCTTCATTTTCATTAGTGTAGTTTTCTTGTCCTCCTCTGATTCACTGCAATGTTGGAACAAGTCTTCAAGATGCTCTTGTGTGTTTTTTCTTCTGCTTCACATCAAAACCAGCTGACATCCTGCAGCCCCCCCTCCCCCCATCATTCCCCACCTCAACTCACCTCAAAATGCTGCAGAGGTCTGTGACAATGATGCACTTCATGGATTTCAATTGAAATTCACTGGTTACAGGTATGAAACGCTCATTCTACAGAGAATTATTTTTAAACAAATGTGGAACTTTAAATTCAGCAAATAAGGGGTGTACATTTTATTTGCCAGGCAGTATGTGCGAGGGGAAATAATTATCAATCTGTTAAAAAATAATAATATGCCACTGAAAATGATGGTTCTTTCAACAGTTACACATTTAGTTTTATTTGGAAGAGAACTAGTACAGAATACCATTATGTTTATTGAACTAAACCACTAAAAATGTCTCTGGAGATGCAATGGAAACCTTTTCATCTAAATGCTTCAATGTTAGTGTTATCATTAATGTACTTAAGTGCAAATCTTTATACAATAAGAACTTACAGTACATAAATGGATGCTTTGTGATTATTTAAACTATAATACAATATAAGAATGAAAATCGATCTATCATTTAACTGATGTTTTATCAAATTTGAATAATTATTGCTTAAAGGTCCAGTGTGTAAGATTTAGGTGAAAGGGAACTTTTGGCAGAAATTGAATGTAGAATAATCCTCATGATGTTTTCACTGGTTCATTTAATCTAAATTGTATGAATTGTGGTTTTCTTTAGCCCAGAAAAGGTCCTTTATATTTAAATACTTTATATTGAAATGCTCCATGTGGAAAATGACCATGAGTTTCAGTCTTATTTAAAATAGGCCTTGGAAACAATTAGCTGAACCTCAACCAACTACAGCTGAGTGAACGTATTGAGCATTAAAGGCTACTGTTTAATGGTACACAGTTAGTGAATGAATTAAAAAACTTTACCTTCAATACAATACTGATACTTACTTAGAAGTACTATCACTTCTGTGGACAGTCGTGTTTCCATCAGAGAGCGTCGTGTCTTCCGCTCCTGCAGGAACCAAGGTCCTCCCAATGTTCATTATTCTGTCCGGACATAATTTCGGTCGCACTCTCGTTTTAATTTGTTTCCCATCGGAAGCATGAAGTAGCTGCCACCACAACTCGGACAGAAGAGTGTTGTTTCCTGAAGTAAATCGAACTCCTGGTGGACTTGCGGTCAGCCGGGATGTCTCGCGGCTCCATTGAGATCCCTCTGCGGGACACGGACGAGGTAAAACTCGGCTAGACTTGTTGTTTGAGGCGAAGCTCGCCGTGCTAACGCTGCTAGCCTTCAATGCTAACGCTAGCCACAATGAGCTAATGAGCGGTGGATCTCAGCGTGTGATGAGACAGTCTGAGACGTAAACAGCAGAAATGCTCAGCGCAGAAAGGACAGATTCACTAACACAACACAACATGTGATCTGTTCACAGACATGCGACTTGTTTTCCGTGGAGACTTATGAAGCCTTAAATCCGGTTTCATTCAAGAACATGTCTTATCTGTGGTGTCGTTAGTTACAGCAGCGTTGTTACGCGTTTATTGGAATTTCAAAATACATTTACACTGTAGACACATCCAGGTGAGGATTCATACTGACAGCGATTCTTTGTCACAGTAAATCCAGCTCTGTGCAAAAGTTTCAGACTCACTGAAGATCCCTCTGGCTACGTTTGGGGTCGCTGCAAAATAAACTTTGAATCAGCCTCATTGATTTTATTACACTATGGATAAGAATCTAAATATCTAAAAGTGCCAAAACTTTGACAAAAATGTATGCCCCTAGAATAGTTGAGTGAACACCTCTGAAACAAATACTATATATATATAACACTATTACACAGGACTGTTGTACTCGTCTATGTAGTTTCAGCTAAGTGGGATATTGTGTTTTCTGTAAAATAAAATTAAAAATGCATCAGTTACCTGGACAGGAGTGTTAGTTTTGAAATAAGTATTTTCCCAAACATTATATTTTATCATGCTGATTCAAAAATAATCTGGAAATCCAATGATGCCATATATAACTGTGATATGATGGAATCTCACGTGCATCATTGTTTCCTGTCCCTCATTCATAACACTTAAATGACACTTTGAAGCTCTATAACTTAACTTTATAAACTGCTCCTCTCAGGTTATCGAGCTTGACTTTGACCAGCTGCCAGAAGGAGATGAGGTCATCAGTATCCTGAAGCAGGAGCACACTCAGCTTCACATATGGATCGCGTTGGCGGTGAGTCAGTGCATCTATCCTAGAATGCTGTTACATTATTATTGTAATGTACACTACTAGCATCATTTTAAACATCAGACACGATCTATGTAAAGCAATATTAAAATCTACCCATTTGCCCTCTTCAGCTGGAGTACTACAAGCAGGGCAAAACAGAAGATTTTGTCAAGCTTTTAGAAGCAGCTCGTATAGATGGAAACCTCGACTACAGAGACCATGAGAAAGACCAGATGACCTGTCTGGACACATTGGCAGCTTACTATGTCCAGCAAGCACGTAAAGAGAAAAATAAAGATGCCAAGAAAGAGCTCATCACGCAGGCCACACTGCTGTACACCATGGCAGACAAGATCATCATGTATGATCAGGTAAGCAAAATGTCTGTCAGAGCAGCTGATATTTGGCTATGACTCCTGTATTTTTACATTTTAAATAACACACTCTTGTGTCAACAAGAACCATTTGCTGGGAAGAGCCTGTTTCTGCCTGCTGGAAGGAGACAAGATGGACCAGGCCGATGCTCAGTTCCACTTTGTCCTCAATCAGTCCACCAACAACATCCCTGCCCTGCTTGGCAAGTTCAAAATAAAAGAGACAGAGATTGATCTCGACCTCTGTCATTGACTGAAATAATCACACCACTGTTGTTCAACAGGTAAGGCTTGTATCTCCTTCAACAAAAAGGATTACAGGGGAGCTCTGGCATACTACAAAAAGGCTCTACGTACAAACCCCGGCTGCCCAGGTAAACAAGTCACATGACAATAATTCTGCTGCTTTCTTTTATTGATATTTGGAAGTAAAAACATCTGGTAACATAAATATTTTTGACAAATGTGGTTAAAAAGAACTGTTGCAAAAAAAACACAACTACAATAGCACATCTTCTAACCGTGTGCAATGTCTCTGTCAGCTAACAGATTAATTGATTCAGCGATACACGAAACATTTTACGCACTTCTCATTCAAAGTGATGCATTGCTGAGGATTCTTCATCTATCATTTCTCTCTTATGTCTAACCAGCGGAGGTGAGGCTAGGGATGGGTCACTGCTTTGTCAAGCTCAACAAACTGGAGAAAGCTCGTTTGGCTTTTGGTCGAGCCTTGGAGCTTAATTCAAAGTGTGTGGGAGCTCTTGTTGGTTTGGCGGTGTTAGAGCTCAACAACAAGGAGGCGGACTCCATTAAGAACGGCGTGCAGCTTCTGTCGCGAGCGTACACCATCGACCCCAGCAACCCCATGGTGCTCAACCACCTCGCTAACCACTTCTTCTTCAAAAAGGTAATCACTCATCTATTGTTATTTGAAATCCTAACACTAATTTAAACCATTGTCTTTTAACTCATGTTCATGCCTGTGTGGTTTGATCTTCCTATCAGGACTACAGTAAAGTGCAGCATCTGGCCCTTCATGCTTTCCATAACACAGAAGTTGAAGCCATGCAGGCTGAGAGCTGCTACCAGTTAGCTCGCTCGTTTCATGTGCAGGTAAGATCCAGACCAACGCTTTGCCAGCACAATTATAAATTATTATGTCAATACTTAACATTTCTCATATCTTTGCTTTTTTTTTCTTCAGGAGGATTATGACCAAGCATTTCAGTATTACTACCAGGCCACTCAGTTTGCCTCGTCCACCTTTGTGTTGCCCTTTTTTGGGCTGGGACAGATGTACGTGTATCGAAGAGACAAAGAAAATGCAGCACAGTGCTTTGAAAAGGTTTTAAAAGCCTACCCCAACAACTATGAAACTATGAAAATCCTGGGGTCTCTCTATGCAACATCTGATGATCAGGAAAAGAGAGACATCGCCAAAGTACGTATCCTCTTTTACCACATGTCTGTGGTGAACGTCATTTTAGGGGAATTCTTTTCATTAATGTCAACGTGTTCTTGCTCTAGGGTCACTTGAAGAAGGTGACAGAGCAGTACCCAGACGATGTGGAGGCGTGGATCGAGCTAGCTCAAATCCTGGAGCAGACTGACATCCAGGGAGCGCTGTCTGCTTACGGCACAGCCACACGCATCCTGCAGGAGAAGGTGCAGGCCGATGTTCCTCCTGAGATCCTCAACAACCTGGGAGCTCTTCACTTCAGACTGGGCAACCTGGGAGAGGCTAAGGTAGCTAACAACATACAAAAACCTGATGTCATAAAATAACCACATTTACCTAATGATTTAGTAACTAATATCACATTGAAAACAAGGGATATTAATTGGATAGAAGGTCCAATAAAGTATTTTCTTCTCTGTGATGTTCAATTATCATGAAGCATATAGAAGACTTTATATTTAGCATCAATACCAGAGCTATTTCAAGGTTGGGGTCATGTCTTCTCTCCTACAGAAATATTTCCTGGCATCTCTGGACCGGGCCAAAGCTGAGGGAGAGCATGACGAGCATTACTACAACGCCATTTCTGTCACCACCTCCTACAATCTGGCCCGTCTGTATGAGGCTATGTGTGAATTCCACGAAGCTGAGAAACTCTACAAAAACATCCTCAGAGAGCATCCTAACTATGTGGACTGTAAGCATGACACATGATGGAGTTTAAAGTGTGAGACCATTAAGACTAAAGGTTTGTGCTCTAAAATATCATCTGAATCTTTTGGTTTGTAGGTTATTTGCGTCTTGGAGCGATGGCTCGTGACAAAGGAAACTTTTACGAAGCT